TACTGGTGTAGATCGCTCCGAAGTTTGAAGTCATGCCTGAGAGGGCATGTTCCATTGATTAATTTCTGATCGATTTATTCATTGCATAGAAAATCAGGAAGCCTCATTTACTAATGAAACCATGATCTGGATGCATATATGCAATGCATACATACGAAGGGCAATACACTCATATGAATGCTATCAGCTTGAAGAATTGACTAGTCACATCCTATACTCAACGTGTTTCCTCATCAAGAAAATACTGTAATTCAACATTGAAGGTATCCATTTCATTTTACTCTGATTTCCTAAAAGTGTATTTCTTTGGGATATTACAGGCGGCCTTTTCACTGTCAAAAATGCGTTGAAATTGTGAGAAACGTTATATTGAGGATCTAAAAATTTCGAAAATTACATCATATTGACATAAGAAAGAGTGGCAAGTATTCCAACAACAAAAACGTTTTTATAAGAACTCCGAGAATAATGACACGGACAAAGATATGCTTCCTTAGACAATAACGCATGAAAATTTTCAGTTCTGCTCAGTTATTTCAGGATTTCGTGAGTTTTCAGCGATTTCCATGCATGCGATGCTTAGACATTATCTTTACAATCAAAGCTGAATCAATAAACTCAGCAGAAAAAAGCATGAGTCGCTTGGAAGAGCAGTTTTTATTTTTTGAACCATTTATAATTTTGAATAGGCAAGATTTTTTTGCTTGAGAAAATTCTCAAAACCATTTCATCTCATCTTGAGAGAACTCCGGGTTGGTTTGTCCCGATTTGAATTCATACATCCCATAAAAAAGAATTTGGAACACCTCAGCCGAAAATCAATAATTTACCAGTATATTGGCTTTGACTGAATAATATGTATTCAACGCCCAAAATTGCCCTTTTCATTGAGTGAATTCTTTCAATCTATCCTTCGGGAACATTTGACGAGGGCATCTTATACAAACTTCAAAATTAAACGCGGAAAGTCAAGAAAATATCAACGGGACAGTTGAATTGTGTTCAAGATTATTTTTTTTGGTCCGGAAATAAGTGAGAAGAACACATGTCCATATTTCATGTAGTATTTCAAGGTACAGTATTAATGCCATTGACGGAATACTGTGATTTTAGCTGCCCAGAAAAATGCGATTTCTAGATTTTGTGTAGGTTAGTAAATGGCTCATCGGATTCGAAAAACTGGATAAATTGGGTCGAAGAATATTGATATTAAAAATTCATACCAAAGGGAATTTTTCAAACACATTTCCACTGTACGTTTTTTTTCGCGAGAAAATATTTCAAAACGCAGTCCACCAAAAAATGTGGGCAGTCCTAAAACTTGTAAAAATTCCTTCGTATATATACGCGGCCAAATTTAAGCGGTAAAGTCTTTTAAGTTAGGTGAGTACTCTCCAGTTTCTGTACTCGACTTGCCTACTATGAGCAAGCTACTATAAAGTTAGTGCCTCTTTTGTACTATCCCTCGAACAAAAGTAGTCTAAAACCAGAAAAATCGCGACCATCTGCTGAAAAACTCGTTGCTGACGATCCCGGATCTGCACGATTGCGTGGGCTTTGAAGACGAAGATGATGATTTCTCCTTCATTGCGAAGAGCTTCTCGTGAAAACAAAAAAATGGAAAATAAAGTGGATGAACTTATTCGCTGATGAAGAGCAAAAAAAAATGGAAAAACATCATCAGCTTCGCCGGAAACGTCGATCAACTCTGCAAATTTCCCCGTCGATGACGCGGTTGGCGGAGATTATTCGAACCGAAATATAGTCATGAATAATTCCAAGTCATCATTGTCAATCACGTAGATGAAGAAAAGGTTTCCATCGGACGTGGTTTGATCAAGTGTGAAAACGTTGCTGCCAGATTGCTCATGCAAATCCCCATCACATTTCAGCATTTATTGAGTCGCTTGCAGACTATTTTTCCTGATCGACTTGCCGCATGCTTCTCTTACATGTTTTCCACCTTCTTCCTGAATTAGAACGAATTATGAATATTCCCCGTAATTAGAAAATTATGCTGCGAAACTTCAAGAATTCCCGTAAAAGATTGCATGCAGATGTGGTCATTATATAGCTTTGATACCAACTTAAAATCGCGTATTTTCTCAATTCTTGCATGCTGTATAGGGTTTTGAGCAAAGAAGTGAATACAGTAGTTTCTTGTAGATGATAGCTGTTCAGTAGAAAATTTTCAATTTTTGATCTGTCGTAATGTCAAAGCTGGCCCTGTGAAATTGCAAGAAAAGTTCCGACAATTTTCCCAGGCCCATTTTTTTCAGCTGCTTTTACATCCAAAACTCGCATTTTGTAAACCATCTATCACAAAAGAGCATACATTTCAAAAATATAGGCCTCGTGTTTCGATTTCTGCATGAGAATCATCCTGAATCATCTTGAAAATGGAAGTCTTTCTTCATTACGGAGAAAGAAAAACGTCATGTGAAGGTGAAAAAAGTATCGATTTGTGATAAGAAATAACTGTTCAATAAAAAAGAAAATACGTCGGTGCTTCATACAATTCAAAATAATCGGGGCGACAAAAACAGCACGTATAAATAAATATATTCCTTTTGAATCTGAACGACGTAAGCTAGAAGACTTCTATGCCAAAAATACCTTGCATACCTGATCTAGTATCACAAACACTTTGACAGATGTCGCGTTGATCAGCGATGTTATATATATTCAGCTAGTTTGCGTATCACAATTCAATGCAGTTCCCTCATTTCTCACATTTAAAAAATCTCAACGACACAAAACTTCACAATTCTCTGATTTTATTTTCAGATTAAATATTTCTGATCATCAGGAAAATACTTGAGACTTTTGTCAGTATCCATTTTACTGGGGACGAGTACCTCGAGCGGATTTATTTTTACACATTGTAAATGATAAAATGCAGTACTTTTCTGAATGTCGCGATTAATGTCAACATTTAAAATGCATCAAAAATGGTTCGATCAACGTCAATGACTTACTCGTGCCTTTCTCGTTTGTTTTTGTAATCATATTTGCATTGGGTGAATGTTCTTCGCAACTTTATTAAAATTGCAGGCGCAGTACAGTACGATATACTGGTGTAGATCGCTCCGAAGTTTGAAGTCATGCCTGAGAGGGAATGTTCCATTGATTAATTTCTGATCGATTTATTCATTGCATAGAAAATCAGGAAGCCTCATTTACTAATGAAACCATGATCTGGATGCATATATGCAATGCATACATACGAAGGGCGATACACTCATATGAATGCTATTATAGCTTGAAAAATTGACTTGTCACATCCTATACTCAACGTGTTTTCTCATAAAGAAAATACTGTAATTCAATATTGAAGGTATCCATTTCATTTTACTCTGATTTCCTAAAAGTGTATTTCTTTGGGATATTACAGGCGGCCTTTTCACTGTCAAAAATGCGTTGAAATTGTGAGAAACGTTATATTGAGGATCTGAAAATTTCGAAAATAACATCATATTGACATAAGAAAGAGTGGCAAGTATTCCAACAACAAAAATCGTTTTTATAAGAACTCCGAGAATAATGACACGGACAAAGATATGCTTCCTTAGACAATAACGCATGAAAATTTTCAGTTCTGCTCAGTTATTTCAGGATTTCGTGAGTTTTCAGCGATTTCCATGCATGCGATGCTTAGACATTATCTTTTGATGTAAGTAACGTGTTTTCCCTTCAAAATTTCAGATTTTTAAGCGTTATATCCTTGTACGTCGAATTTTTCCGCCTCAAAATCAGTGCACAACCAATACATAATCGTCTGAATGTTGCATTTTCTTTGTGTATTGAATGACAACACGTTTTTCATCAACAGATTAGGAAAAATGATGGGAATATCAAATGGGTTGTTTTCGTGGATATTCGCCAGCACCCGTGTAATTCCGAAATTTGCCGGTGACGAATGAAGAATTCCACCCTCGCTCAATATCCTCCATGCAGGATGTGTACATTGCAAGCACCAGCAGTTCGATGCGCATCAACTGTTCAAGGGCAAAGAAGGAGAAGAAAAAGCAACCCCGGCTGCTCCTGCATTAAAGAAAACATCAATGAATTGAGGAAAAAACAGTGCGAATAAGTTATTGCTGAGCAACGCCATCGTGCTGCCGTGGAAACCCTGACACTCGCGCCAGCACAAACTTTCGAGGCGAACCCCGTGCTGCAAATTTTCCTGCGCGTTACGTTCGTGACTCGATGAGGTCAGTGCCGAAACCTCGATTCCTGTTCATGCTAGGTCGCCTTTAATCACTGCAACGTGTGCTATACGTCATATTGGAAACAATTTTGAACATTTTAAAACTCCGTGCGGATTAATAAAGTCTTGAGAGTTCCTATATACTGTATATAAAAGTCCGCATTTAATTTTTGCGAATATATTTCAAAGTGATGGATTCAGAAAATATTTTGTCTGGCGGGGATTTTCGTGGCATTTTTTTAAATCCCTTGAAAGTCTTTTTTATTGATTTATTATTCTTTCCCGATCTTCCAATTAAATCTTTTCATGTTTAAGACAACATATAAGTAAAATGTTAACGTATACGTAGACAATAACATATACGTAAAACGTTTTATTTTGCTGCGAGAAACTTCTTCATGTGAATTTTTAAAAAAAAAGTCATGTTAAAGTACTTTGTCTGCTAATTACCGGTGTTTTTAGTAAAATGGGAACATTTTTCGCCTAAAAAAAATATTACAGAGATTATCTAAAAAGAAATTCTCTCTATAACGACAATCTATTTCTGGTGTCCTAAATTTCGTTGTATAGAGAAAGGTCACCAGTTTAATGCGTATGGAGAAATAATCAAGCTGTATAAGAAGAACTGATGCATCAAATGATAAGTTTTTGACATGCAAATCCATCAGCTGGAAATAATATTGATCCTGAATCCTTAACTCAGGAATCTTCAATGCTTTAAACCAAAAACCAATAAGTCGTTGTGTTCATTGGAAAGATGCATTTTTCAAGTGGTTGTAGTAAAAGGGAGTATCATTTTTGCGAAGATTACGGTATTATGCAGAAAAGACTAAACCGGTGAAATCAATGAGAGTGAATCATGTGAAAAAGACGTTCGCGGAACAACTCAGAAATACGTAGTATAAACCATAGATTCTTACATCATTGATGTAAATGAATCGAAACCGGAATGACGAAATTGTACACCTCCCTTCTCGGGTGAGTTTGACTGTAATCTACCGGAATCAATCACGAACAATCAATTTTCGTGATATTTCTTTCAAATGGAGCTGACGAAAACGCTTTTCTTCAGCTTTTTCGCTCTAATAGTCGTCCCTGGAAACGCAGTCGCAAAAAATTTATCAGCGGTGATTCCACCTTCGTACATCAAAGGTGATTTTCAAAACCTTTACAATATGCTCTTTTCTCGAAGTTTGAAAATAATTTCTAAACATTACTGCGCTCTTTTTCTGATTTCTCATTTTTGCGAACAGAAGTTTCTCCCGGTGCTGATGACGCCACGAAGAAGCCGATAGAAGTTCAAATTGCAATTTACATCACCGACGTATCGTCGGTCAATACAAAAGACATGGATTTAAGGTCGTGCATTTTCAAACATGAAGTTGCAAAGCTTTTGTAAACGATGCATTTCTTAATGTGTTTTTTTATCAGGCTTGACTTGCTCTTCAGACAAACTTGGCAGGACGACCGACTTTTGCCAGAAAATGCCATGAATCCCGGAGAAAACCAAACTGTGCTGTCTACATCGTTCTTGGATAAGATTTGGAAACCCGATCCCATTATTTTGAATTCAAAAAAGACAGGTTAGTCACTTCGGAGTTATAATCACATTTTGAAATGTGCGCATTTTCAATGATGATCTGTGAGGTTTTCTCCAAATGGACAATTAAACTTCAGAAATGTTTGATGGACGTAAATGTTCTTCGGGAAATGATTTCAGATCTTGCAGAAATGGGATCCAAGTTCGGAAGCGTGGTTCTTTCCTTGGACAAGAAAATAATTTACACATCAAAGCTGGCAGTTTTACTCGGCTGTCAAATGGATTTCCGCCAATTTCCGAACGATCTACAACTTTGTCCGATGAACATTGAAAGCTGTGAGTCGTGAATGATGAGTGTTTTCTTCTTCTAAAAACATTTCGTATGTCTCCAGTTTCAAAAAATAACCACTCACGACGATTCTGTTGGTTTCGAAAACAAATATTTCCATCTGATAAGTCGGAAAGAATTACGGTACAGAAGCGCATACACACTTTGCTTGGGAAAACGGAAAATTGCGTGACTACAACAAAGAATTGCGATAATACCTGGAACTGAATATAAAGTCATGGTGAAAGCAAATTACTGCGCATATGTTTTTTGTACGTAACAGGATCGATCACCAAAAAATTGAGGTCGGATATCGCAAATAAACAAAAAATACATTAAAAATTTCGAATCACTAATTTTTTTGGCGAATAATCTGAGTTATCTGAGTGCGTGCGAAAAGCACTGCAGGGACCTGAAAGAATTTTAAAGCACTCGCTTTAAAATTTGCAATTGTTTCTGTATGTTAATATATACGGCAATCCCTGCTATTTCAGTGCTATTTCACACGGAGTGACATTTTTAAATCAGTTGCCAGTTTTTTTTTAAATCGAAAATTAGACGACTCATCATCAAGAGAATAAAGGGCTGGTACATTTAGAAAATATCGTGTAAAAATACTATATTCCCTGGTTTGAAAGTAAATTTTATGCCTCGAAAGTACTCCGGATAAAATTAGATTTACAAAATGTACAGAGATATTAATGATGAAGATCTGAAGTAAATATAAAGACAAACATGATCGGGAAAAATTAATCACGGAGAATTCACTGCTGCGATTCACCCTCTAAAAATGTCCGAGAAAGTCCAGCTAGTGCTCTGTCTGAGCTGGAATTTATTATATGTGCCAATAATGAAAAGATTGAATTGAAAAAGCATTGGAATAAAAAATTTAATAGATTAAAAAATTAATCTAAAAAACCACGTTTTCAAAAAGCAAAAGTGAGCGAAATTTGAGTTGCAAAATTTGATCCGGACAAACAAACGGACAAGAAAGCGAGTTAATAAAAACGTGTTAAAAATACAGTAGTTGCAACGCTCCAATAAAAAATGAAATGTGCTGAGAAGTAAAAAAAAGAAGCTGGAAAACCTAAACTGGGGTTCTCCTTTAGCTTTCTTGCTCCAAATCACCCTATTCTGCAAATCGAAGACTATCTATCATAATATTTTGTCCAACATTCCTGGAGGAAACGGTTGTTCATATTTCTAAAGTCGTGCAGGTAAATATGAGGTAATTATGGTACTGAAAATTTGATTACAGTTTCAGCACCCGCGACGGAAATTTTCCTGCGATGGGAAACCTTCGATTGCGAAACAGCTGGGGATCGATACACGAATGTCAATGGACAATGCAAAGGAGTCGGAATCATAGACGACTTGAAAATGCTGCAGTTCAACCTCATCACGCCCATTCCTTTCACCAAGGAAGAAAGCCATCGAATGTTGGGCAAACAAGTGGGTTAGTATCGTTAAAATGTCATCACAGGATCTTGAAATTTTGATGCTATATGAGTTTCACAATTTTAAACTGCTGGGTGAAGATTTTGTTGGAACTCTGACGACTGCTCTTTACGTCAGCATTATATTTGGAATTTAAATCAATCCATCAAGATAATTCACCTTATTTTTCTTTTTTGAGTCATTTCACTAAAAACGAATCCTCCAGCAGCGAAAATTATTGCCTCATTTTGTCTGATTTAACCAAACAATAGGCAATAATGTGCCCAGTTGAACAGAAAATTTAACTATAAGTGATTTTTTTAAATGCATTTCAAGTATGGAGACAAAAAGTTTGTATAAGTTGCATTTGGGATGAATCTCCGTCATAAAATCGAATATTGTGTGCATTCATGGGTCAAATTTTTGTCCTTTGGAACCTTGAAATATCTTCAGAAAAGTATCATTATTTTTTTTTCAATTCGGTCTGTTTTTTTCAGTATCTTACTCTAGGTTGGTGATGAAGTTCCAGTTTGAACGGGTATTGACGCAATATATTGTGCAAACCTTTTTGCCAAGCTTTTTCATCATATGCTTGGCCTGGTTTTCGTTTTTCATGGGACTCGATTCGGTGCCTGGACGAGTCACTTTGCTGGTCACATCGCAACTGACTCTTGTGACCATGTTTGCGTCGAGTTTATCTGCTGCGATTCCTCCTGTCGCATATTTGAAAGTCAGTTTCATTGAGGCATTATTTGTTTTGAAAATCGCACGAATAGCAACCGTTACTGCATTAGAAAGTATGCATAAAAAACACCTTGGTTTATTTGAGATTTCGGAGAATTCTCATGAATATCGCAGCATAAAACTTTTTCAACATCCCACAAAAAATAGTTCGACTCGGTCAACAAATGAGAAAAAATTGAAATCATGATTTTCAGCTGTAATCAAACTTTTAAGAGTCAGCAATTTTCTCGATTTTTTTAAATTCATATACTTTATTTAGATGGAAAAATACTACATAATTGTAGATATTCTCATTTAGAGCAAAGATTTCCAAGACTATAATACCAATAGTTTTCATTCGTTTCCGAAAATTACAGCCAAATACGTTTTAATTGAGATGTTCTGCTTTTTTTTTTACAGGCAATCGATTATTGGATGCTGTATTGCTTGTTTTTCCTGTTTTTGGCACAAATTGAATTCGTGGTAGTGAAAGTTCTGGACGTTCTGTATCGTTATGAAAGAACCGGAAGCTATTACAACAACCCTGGAGCAGCAAATTCGAAGGTATGAAGGCCTCAAGCAATTCTAGTTTTCTTTTCATTAGAAGCATTACCTTGATTTATTATCTGGATATAAATTCCAAACTTGAATAATAGCATATGACGGACAATTTTTCCAAAGGGTTAAAATTTGTCAATGCAAATATTCGCTTCGAGAAGAAAACGATGGTATTATATAGGGATTTTATCGACATAGTATTCCAGCATTTTTTAATAATTTCTTCGAAATAGCTCGGGACTAGAAATTTTCTACGCTTGTATCAAGTAATTTTTTCTAGAAAGTTTACCAAGCCCATTAACAAGTCAATCTAAAATATTAAATCCTTTCCATCAGAAGACAAAAAAATTTCAGCAAAATTCTGGAAAAATGTCCAGACTCCCCCGAAAGATTATTTTAAGTAATTAAAGCCAAGTCATTTATTTCTCCGTTCAAAAAACTTGGACAATCATCAACGTTGGTTCTCTTCAGAAAATTGCAGAATTTCTCAGAAGAATTATTGGAACGGCGACTTTAAAACTTCGATTACTCGTCATGTTCGAGTGACACAATTTCACTCAATTGTATTTTAATTTTTTATTTTTCAGCCGTTGAAGAAGAAGCGTCCGAAAGACGAATCAGCTTCAAGTTCGCTCCAATCATCGTCATCGTCGACCAGCGGGGCTTTTAAAGGCTTGGCCGGAATTTTCCGTCGCACGAACACGACAGGAGCATGGAGTGTCGATCACGAAGCCAGAAAACAACACCAGGAAGAGATCAAATTGCAATTGGAACAAGAAAACGGTGACACTGATTACCAGGATCAGCGGGGATTCTGCAATTTGCACTTGGGTTGGATTGACGAAAAGGGTCGCGAACGGCTGTTGTGGAGAGAAATCGACATCGCTTTTCGATTCATTTTCCCGATTTTGTTCGGGATTTTCAACCTGGTCTTCTGGCCCATGTTGTACAAAAGACACTTCTGAAAATGCTGTCATTCTTTATAACGAGGACCTCATGATTTGGACATACTTATGTGACTTGAACGTTGAACAGGGCGTTCACAAATTTGTGATTTTCTGAAGCTGAAAAGTTTATTTTTCGTAGCACTATCGAAAATTATGGCATTTCTAGTTCAGAGGACATATTCTCAAATTTTAATTTTCCTCGGAAAAAAAAATTTTTTTACAGCATATTCCGATTGGAGTTTTGAAAGAAAATCGAAATTTTCTCGGGAAACGGTGTCTCAAAAAACGATCAACTCGTCTTCGAAACTTTGGACTTCATTTGGACACTTTTCGAATAGAATTGAAATCTTATTTGGTTTCTTTGTGCAAGAATCATCCTGATTGATATGACATTCTTCAAAAGAAATCACATTCACTTCTCGAAAACTTGAGCATATTCTAACAATTTTAAATTCATCCTAATTTTAGGTCGTCGTATTTTTGCCGTTCCTCGGGTAAAATTACTATACTCCAAAAGTCTTCACCAAAACAAAAACAAAAACAAAGCTGAAAAAATTGTCTAAATCTGGAGTTTTATCCTTATTAAGTGAAATATTTACGTTATCTGTATACTAATAGGGAAAGACAAATATGAATTTGTAGGTCTACTGTATTTTCAAAGGCGTATTTGAGTTGAATCTAAGTCCTGAACATACATTTGACATTTCGAGTGATTCTTTAATACCGGTGTATTTTATGGTGACGAAATATGGCTTTAAATTTTGTCAGTGCCTTCAGTCATTGAATTTGACTTTTTTTATGCCAGAACATACAAACATGTATTTATCTTGAATTTTTCGAAGAGGGAACGGAACGTGATCCAGCAACAAAATTTCGCTTTCACTTTTTTTGGGCTGAAAGTCTGAGCAGAAACATTTTATCGCGTGAAGGACATTTATTTACGAGAGGTCCGAAATCAATGAGCATCATTGAAATTATATATTCGTTCATGGAGCATTGATTTGCACATAATAAGAAGTCGTACATGTTCCATGACACCTTATGTACCAATAGTTTAAAACGTTAACGACCACACGACACGCGCCAAAACTTAAGTTAACGTCGAACGTATGCAGGTTGTAGTACGAAAAAGCACGTGCGATTCAAGTTATGGAAACAATAATAAAATGTCTGAGCAATAAAATTTTAATTTTTTTGTGCTTGAACTTGTGAACTGTGTGATCACGAAGGGTATCCAAATAAAGCTCAGGTGAGATCTGCCTATTGTGTGCGAATGATTGAGCTTCAAGCGACATCTAGAAAATGATAGAAACATATTTGCTTGCTTGGTACGTATATTTGGAGGCAGGTGAGCTCAAGGAATCAATCCAACGATAGTGCATGCACTGAATCTCAGTAACTCAGAGAGTTCGACTCAAAATAGTACGCTTATGTAATCGCTTAATTCATACAAATCATTTTGAAGCGTGGTACTGTACAGTAATGCTTTCCGAGCGCTGCTTTGTTTCTTTTTCTACTGTCTTGCTAAAAATGAAACCGATCATCCGAAAGGATACTTGTTCGTTGTTTTTCAGCATTTCAGCGAAATGAAGACTGTACAGTATTGGGAAATCGTCTCGCGGAAAGTATAGTTTTTCAAGCAGAGGACGATAATGGCAAGCATACAGTTGGATAAAATAAATGTCAACCATGTGGAGTCACCAAGATTTTCAAGAGAGTGATCTTGAGAAATGAATTATGACAAGCGATGTCGAAACATATCCGGCAATTTTTTTCTGCGATCACGAAGATCGCATCATCAGCTATCCTTGATGAACATGCATCAAACATTAGTTCATTCCACTCTGAAGAATTGAAAATTTTCGTATTGCTCATTCCTATATGGACTTTTGAACGAAAACGATCGAGCAACTCTGGAAAAGTGAATAATTTATCTTTACAAACTGGAACAACCGCTCGATCACTTCCAAGTTCCAGCCCATGTGATTACTTGCCTCAGCATTACATTTTACATACTATAGCTTGCAATAAATAATCCGTGGATACAGGCTGCTCACTAAATTATTTCCAGAATACAAGTACTGTATATATCCGGTATTCTTTATATAAAAAGGGAGAATTTTCCGTTTAATATCTTAACATACAATACTCATATTTTAATTCCGTATTTACTTGAATATAACGCACCTTTTTTTCAAATTCAAGATGGAAAAATGGGGTACACATCGCAGGCAAGTAGAATTGTTTTCAAAATGTTTTAGAAGTTTAAGTTTCTGTTTTATATGTACTGTGCAAGATTCTAAATAATAGGAAATTTTTGACCAAGTTCAACGGAAAAGTTTATTGCAATATGAAAATACTTAAAATTAGTTGCATTCAGGTTTAATAAAATTGGGGAGTTACTGGTATCATCTTTGAATATTGCAGTTTTAATCAAAAGTGGGGTGCACATCTTACTCAAGGGGGTGTGTTACTGAAGAAAATATTGTAATAAATGGAAGTAAATACCAAGTAAAATATTTTTTGCAGAAATCGCATTTCAAAATGTTTAAAAAGTTTGCGCAGTGTACGTCCAGTAAAGACAACTGGCTGTCCGATCTTCTGCTGAACTCACTCAACATAACATATTAAAAGGGGATGGAAATAGTGTTAATATTGTTTGGGGGATAGAATGAAATTTAGGTCGAATTTTCAGTGAAAACAGATGCATCAGAAATGTTAATAAGGATGAATTTAAGACAAGAAAGAAAACCTAACTATGTTTGATAAATAAATCACTATTCCAATTTAGAACAATCATAACAGGGAGGTAAAATTTTAATCTCACACGATGCATTTTGGCAAGATTGCTGGAATCATTAGAAAAAAAATCGTCAGTATTGATGTACGCGTACATCAGTACTGTACGTAAATATGTACCTCGCGAGGTACATATTGCTTTTAAATGAACTGCAAAAAGCATGAATATGTTGCAATTTTATAATACCGTGTACTCTTGTCAATATTGAGGCCTCATTTGATCGCCTTCCTCATCAATTAAGCAAATTGACGTAAAAAGGAGGTTCTCTCTCTCTTTTCGCTGTGAGATCATCGCCAAATTTCAGTCCATGCAAGTCCCGGACCTCGTTTGGCGAATTGTGCGCTGGTGTTCTGCGAGGGAAAAATGGCGGACGTTTCGCATTTTACCTGAGCAGTCGCAATCAGGTTCCTGAATCATGAATGCTCCAATGGCTCGCAATTTCGGCCGTGCTCCACAACAAAAGGAGCAGCGACAGAGAGCGACGAATGTGTCCCGCTTGTTTCCCCGCAAGCAAGTCCGCACAAACACTCAGCATTTCTGAGCAACACACGTCGGCGGAAGTCGCTTCCAGACTGTTGTCACGCGAGGCAGCAGCAAAAGGATCATCACTTTTCAAGTTCTCTGGTCCTGACCTTGACAATAATAAGAAAAAAATATTCTCTGATGCTCACCTTGAAAAGGAAAAAAAATATTTCTGAAGCCCAACAACAAAAAAACGATCGATTTTCAATTTACTGTATAAAAGCAAATTGTCAGTCAGTCATGAAAGATTTTGAAAGTCTCCATCTCATGACGAATTGTTTATATTTCTCAGCTGTAAATTAATCAGACTGACTTCTGCGCTTTTAAGGCAGCACGAGATTTTTGAACAGTACTGTGGTACATCATTGTACAACATGCAAGCATACGTTGTGCCAACTAGGTGCGACATTTGCTTCACAGTTTATTTTCATTCATACAAATCACAATTTCCAATAAACGTATACAGGAAATCGATCATTAATTCCGAAAACGCAAAAAATCGAACAAATTTCAAAATTTTCTATTTCATTTTTAACTACACCCATTTTTGAGTAATTTTATAGCATAACTCCCTTGGATTCCATGCATTAATTCTGCTAACCAAATTTTCTAGGGGAAAATTCAGATGAAAACTGTTTTTTCAAGTGGGGTTGGTGTTTTCATCAATTTTTTGAAAACATCCGAGTGTTGTGACTGCTGGAGTGTTATTGATTATATTAACTCTATATTCATGTTTTATCGAGGACAGCAATGAATTATTGCATTGAGAAGAAAGTGGTTTTGGTAACACTCGATTAAAAACTGCGCAGAATGCCGTGATTTATTTTAGACATGCAAAAATCCACTAAACATCGTGAATTCAGAGGAGACATCATCGAACGAGAGCTCAACAATTTCCCAGTATATGCTGCCAAAAGTTTTTATTTTTGATGCCATCAACAGCTATGGAAAACCTACTATTTTTCATAATATCGTAAGTATCGTGTTAATCTGATCATTCAAAAATATCTGAGAACTGAAAAATATTTCACTTTTTTTAACAGACTGATCGCAATAAAATTCGTCAACGGAGCTCAAAACTTCAGTTTGCTCATCCCGTCGGATTACGTCAAAGGTATAAAATCTTTTTGTTCTCATTTGAGTGTAATTTTTTTTCTTGATTTTTAAATCTTTTCATCAGAAATTCCTCCGAGGCACAATTCGACGCATCCAATTGAGGTACAAATTTCGCTCTTCATCAATGACTTGAACTCGATCAATGTCAAAGACATGGATTTCAGGTGAGACAATTTGTTTCCCATAATTTATCAAAATTTCCATATGGAAATCGTTTCCCGTTTTTCCTCGACTTTTAATCATTTAAAAAGAGTGAACTGGAAATTTTGAAAGCGCACGAAAATAATCAAGACAGCGGTTCCATTTTTACTGTGAAAAGTTGACCAAATTGCAAAAAATCTTCCGTTGAGAATGCGACTCTGATTTTTTTTTGTGCGCCAGGATAATAATTGACGTGTATATATAGTTTATATCGCGCGCAATCATCATGAAAACAAATTTAAATCGAGAAATTGAATTTTTTGCGTGTGTTTTTGAGATTCATTCTGTGCTTTTCTGTGGACAGAGTCGATATGATGCTGAGACAGACTTGGATTGATTCTCGACTGAACCCGGATGCAGTAATTGAAGCTGGTAAAAATTTCACAGTCCTTTCCTCGAACGTTTTGTCAATGCTCTGGCAACCAGATCCCATCATTTCAAATGCGAAGTCAGTCAGTGAGTATATTTACATTTTTGGCTCACATAGAAATAAATTAAGGAATGAGAAATAATGAATCTGAATCCTTTTCACTAGGTGTGGCAGAGATGCTGACCAAATTCGGAAATTTGGTTTTGTTCCGAGACAAAAGAATCACGTACACGCTGAAATTGGCAGTGTTATTGTCTTGTCAAATGGACTTTCGCCAGTTTCCATACGACGCCCAGAGTTGCCCCTTGTACATCGAAAGTTGTGAGTAAATTTCAAAATCAATCTTCAATCGAAACGTATTTTCGAAAGTAAAAAAGATGCCCATGTTCAAATTGAAAATTAGCGAACTCTCGGGGGAAGTTTTGAGAGTAATTTTTGAAAAATAAACCCGTCATGCAGCACCTTTCATTCTCGAGATTTTTCTGAAGTTGAAAGATTTTTGTGTCCAGAAAAAAAGAGGCTTTTTCCCTGGAAAAGCCTCTTTCATAGACAAGCCCTCAACATTTTTCATTGATCGAATTGCATGTGCTTTTGCCGAAAGTGCAACACTATATGAAATATTCACCAGCGACGCCGACGTTGCTTTTGCAAAAACGTCGGTTCGAACGTTTGGAAATGATTGGCAATTATTCTTCGATGGAGGACAATATTTTGTTCCCATCAGTACTGTATAACGTGATGCACCCATTGCCTCAAGTAACAAACTTTATAAAGTCAAGAGTGTCCATAACTGTTACTGCTGATTTTTCAGGGAATTCAATTTGAAAAACATCACGTCACGTATACAGTACTTCACAAACGATGTGACCTTGAATCCATGCATCAGAAAAACTATATGAAATCACTACCCAATATATTTATTTGCTAGAAAAGTTCGGACGCATTCAGGCTGTAATTTGAGTTTACACATCGTTTGTGGTTAAAACTAAAACTAAGAGCTGAGTTTAGACGCCTTTCTTATCGAGCCTCAAAAAGTACAAATAAAATATTCTTCGTCATTGTCCTCGATTTCAGATGATTTACGAACATTAATTGCGAGCAAAATAAGTTTAAAATTTATTTTTTCATGCTCACGTGAGACTTCTTCCTTGATGGAGAATCCTAATCAACGAAATTGCTGAAATGATTCAAAAAATAAATCTTTCTAAATTCGACATTGAAGGGGAACCAGAAAAAAGTTCGTTGAAGACACGATTTTGTTGTAAAGAACACTTTTAACATGATGAAGAGAAACCCCTGTGGGACCAAACAATTTGTTATACAGTATATATAGAAATTCGTTGTAGACAAGGTCGTTGTCGAGAGAAAGTCCAGTTTTGATGATTTCGTTGAACCCATACGGAGTTTTGAAAAGGATAATTAATTCCTCACAAACCCTTTTACAATCGCTCTTTATTCCGAGAATTTGCGCTAGTCCATCAAAAAAGGAAAGCTGCAACTACTCAAAAAAGTGGTCTGTAATAAAATTAATTTCCTAAAACATACATTATCCCTTTCCGGAAATCAACTCATTATTATCGCGAAATAATAACTAGAAGACCATGTCATATATTTTCAAATGGAGAAAGCATGGTTTTCTTTCATGACAGTTGACAGGCCTCTTTATAATATTTGCATGCAAAAACATCGATAACTTCGTGGCAGATGCCTCGTCCATGGTTCCTTCTCAAACCCGCACCACGCGTTCTCGAATATATCAATGCTCGTGTTCCTCGTCGCTAAAATGCGCTAAAATATTGACACAACCGGTCGATACAACTTGAAATCACCAGGAAAATGACAGCTACTGGTCGTGTTCCTCCCTGGATAATCACATTCAACCCCAATCATTGTTGGAGGAAATAATTGGCTCACATCGACCTCCCATAGCGAGAGACAAAACATATTGATAATTCTCGTTTTTTTTTTTGCGAATAAGCTCGAGAAAATTGTTTCAAGAAGCAACATGGGGAAAAAAGTGCTTCTGAAATATCATTTTGATGATTCAATTTTCTTTCTTTGCGTAAAACGTTTGCGAATAATTCCAAGAACCGCGTTTACAAACACAGCAAAAACTATAATTTTATGCATGACGGGATGAAAATAGGCAGCAAATTTCCTTCGTAATCACAATTTACTCGAGCGCAAATGCATGACTTTTATATATGAACCCGTATAAAGCACTCAATATATAACAGTTTATGCCAAGAGTAGAATGAGGGTGTGGTTTGATGTTGCAAGCAAAAGGAATAATAGAGTTGGTTATGTCAATAAACGTTTGCTGCTGGGGTTCAACGAAAAATTTTCTGACAAAAAGCTTGACCTTTTCTCGATACACGAAAGGATCCTCGGAAGCACTCAATGAATGAAAGCACTTTGCGGAAGCGAATTCTTAATATGATAATATTGTAAATACGTCGATGACGTCCGAAAGAGTGGAAAGGACTAATCAAGGAAATTATCAATTTATCACATGTCGACATTTCTTGGAACGTTCCGAACTTAATAGATTAAACAAAAATTACTTTGTACAGTATATAGACGTGTTACGTCAATAATGATCATCAACGATTTGCGATCGACGTATGTCTGTTATAGATTCCCTATAAATATCTTCAATCCCAAATCTTAAAAAGCTATTGAAACTTTCCATCATTTATAAATTGAAAATACATTATAAAGCATTGTTTTCCTTATTCTCACAGGAGCTTCCATATAAATGCAGACCTCTGAGAAAATAATGTTTCATGAACATTCGGAAAATGAAATTACCTCATGTTCATTTTCAACTGAATTTTCTGCGAGTACTCCATTTTTTAAAGAAATCATATGCAGCAGGAAAATCTCGTTACAATCATAAAACCAGCATATATATTGTTGGGACGAGGAAAAAATTTGTTATGAAAAAAAATTCATAAAGAAATTCAAATATTGAAACATCGTGGTTACTAGAGCAGGGATGCTTCATGACAAAATTGTTATCAATAATTCGCTGAAGCAAGGTTCTATCGTAAATGCTTGTTTTTCTTTCCATTACGGAATCATGACCCAAAATCGTATTCGCGCACAATTTTGGAGCTTTCATTTATTAGAATTTTAGACATAAATTCCCTTATCACCTCGATTGCGGGTGGGGAAAGTTTTCGCTATAGGATCAAACAAACCCCAGGGAAAAAATGTGTTCCTCTAGAAGGAAATTATTTTGAATAATGCACCTGAGGGGCTCGTATGTGGGCTAAACATTTCAAGCACCAAATGCAGCATAAAAAATGGAAAAAATTCGGCATCCCTGACAAAATTCTGCTGCTTTTTCTGGTAACTAAAAATGCTACAATCATCATGTTGTATTACATTAGATCATACCGGGTAGTTTATATATTTCGCATGAATTTTCTTGTCATTCGCAGTTGGCAGCAACAAAAACGAGTTAGCACTCACTTGGGAAAAGTTCGACTGCCCGAACACGACAAAAATCGCAGTAGAAGACGATGATGAAATGAACTGCAACCCAGTTGGCATCATAAGTCAACTGAAACTGCTTCAGTTCGAACTCAATGATGACATTCCCTTTGGAAGCACGGAGATCATCAAGTTCTACGGAAGAGGACTAGGTTTGTTTTGTTTCTTGGGTGCATATATGAAAAGATCAAGGCTCAAAAGAACTGGTCTCAGAGTATATAGCGAGTTTCAGGAGCGGAGGTTAACAAAAGAGCACGCATAGAAATTCAAAAGTATTAGAAAATGTACCTCGATTTTAAAAGCCAGAAATAAGATTCTTTCGGAATAATATTTCCCCACATTGAATGCAATTACTATACAGTACAGTATTTTAAGTACTGTAATGTATTCCCGGGGCTTTCCAAATAATTGTATATGCTTCAATTGTCAGGATTTTTCCAGTCAATTTATTGATGCTTACTGCTGTTTTTGTGCTTTATTCGTGCGCTTAATCGTTTCTGACTTGAATTTGAGACAATCAGATCGAGCACCATAAATGTACTGCATCATCAAATTTTTCATGATTTTTTGCCTTGTTTCAGCGAACTTCACTCGCCTTTATCTGACTTTCGAATTCGAAAGAGTGCTGACGCAATATGTTGTGCAAACATTCGTGCCAAGCATTTTCATCATCTGTTTGGCCTGGTTTTCGTTTTTCATGGGCATGGATTCGGTCCCTGGAAGAGTAACTCTTCTAGTGACATCTCAACTGACCCTTGTCACCATGTTCGCATCTTCTCTATCAGCTGCGATTCCTCCAGTATCTTACCTCAAGGTAGGTAAATGGTTCGATATTTTACCCTACGGCTGTACTTCCTCTAGGTTCCCTGAAGTCTCTGATTTAAATTTTTGCCACATAGGTGTCGCTTGCATCGCATTGCCCTAAAGTATGAAGTACTGTACAGTACTGTGTTATTCTAGCTCTAGGCCAAATTTATAGGTTTGTTTGCTCGAGCTAGAGTTTGAGGCAATGCTAAAATTACTTTTTGGCACGACACAAAAAAGGCTACAGCAAAAAATTGTCAAATATACATTTTTTTATGGCTATATTATCCTCGGATCTATAATTTCCAGGCAATGGATTACTGGATGCTGGTTTGCCTGTTTTTCATCTTCTTGGCTCAGATTGAGTTCGTCGTCGCAAAAATCCTGGACGTTATGTACAGGTATGAGAAAACTGGCACCTATTATGGTCAGGCTGGTACCATGAGCAAACCGAACTCTGCCAGTGATGATGATGATTACAGCAATGGACGAAGTATGAAGCAGGTAATTACTGCAATGTGGCTGCATTGTTCTATATTTGTCTATAAAGTACTGCTCTGCGCGATTAGCGCACTGCCTAATATTTGCAATGATAATTCTCAAAAGAAATAATAATTATATTAACAGAAATACGTACCTGAAATGATATGAAGCAGGTCAAACCTACCCTTCAAGTCGAACTCCAAAAGGGACGAACTAGAAATTTACTTGAGTTTTTGAGTATGGGAAACCAGCCTTTTTGTATAGAAAAAACATTAATATACCGTAATTAAGCGGGAAGGTGAAATTGTTGATCTTTTGGGATATAAACTAACCATAAATGAGATTCACACGATCGATGCGGAGGTTGAAAATAAGGGTACAATTGCCCAACGAGTGAGTCACTCACTTCCTCTTTTTATAAAAATGTAGTCTGATGTTATTACTGTTAAATTCATTTGTCCCCAACATAATAGCGCAAACGCATACAAAATGTATTTATAGAGACATTCAGGGTGAGAATGCAACTGTTCAGGGAATTCACCGGGGCGACAAAAATACAAGTAAAATTTAAATAAAATGCTGTCTTTGACTCAAGGAGGACCAATTATCAAGGTTCAACTGTATAAATTGGTGAGATTTAGTTTAATCAGAAGCTCATCGTTTTCATTAGATAGAACGTCAATTAAAATTTTTGTGAGTAGAAAAAAAAAATCGTTGCATGCAGTTTATTTCGATGAAAATTCGCTGAACGGGAGTCACAAACTTGCACTCGTCAATTGTGAATTTGAATATCTCACAGGTTCCTGATGCAGAAAATCCTGTAAGTCGTGGAAAGGAAGACAAACCGCATGACCATCAAGCCAGACATCATCAAGTTGACAAAAGACACAAGAAACACGCCTTCACAAAATTCGGCATGGACGAGGAAACCGCGGAGTCTTCGAAGACCAATAATAAGCCAACAAAACGAGCGCAGTCGAAAGGGATGTTCAGCAGATTTCTCATGACATTTGCCACAACCCCGTTGGATCGCAGAGCCTTTGTCAGCAGGAAACCCGAAGACGCGCGGACGATCGACAGCACTGATTTGAAAAGTGTCACCAGTCGAGGGACAACAAGTTACGAGTCACAACGACGTGAAAGCGACGGAACCAAGTTGAGATCCAGAAATACCAACGATATGGACAATAATTTGGACGACGCCGGATCTGATGACGATGACGGGATTTCACTCAAGTTGGCCTGGGTCGACGAGGACGGCGACGAGAGGATTTTGTGGCTTGAAATGGACGTCGCATTTCGGATAATTTTTCCGATACTATTCATTATTTTCAATTTAATTTTTTGGCCGCTTTTCTTGAAGAGAAAATTCTGAAAACTGACGTACTCGCACCTTTACTGCGCCAAGAAGAAGAAATATACAGTACATCCAATCCTAGAGCAATGATTCTTTGAAGATTTCACTTCCCTTCGGATACCTTCACAAAATACAAGAGCTGAATTTAAATATTTTATACGGAAAATCGATGTTACCTCTTTTCCAAATAACAGAAGAAATCTGAAAAATGATAAGTAATCTCGAATCAGCAGCAATGCATGCAAAAAAGCATTGTCACCAGAAGAAAATTAAGGCAGAGCGATTTCAACGCAAAACCCTTATATTTTCAAGGGAGCTTCTCGAAAAATGGAACAATTTTCTAGTGGTACGATCTTGAAAAAGTCGATCAACAACCATAATTAAAAATGTAATGAGCAAAAAACAGTAAAAAAAGTTTTCCAATAATATTTGTGCATCTCCGTTCACAAAAAACCACATGCATATATGTACTGTAATACAACTCATCGCGTTTCCAAAAACCAATAAATGCTTTAATCAAACATCCTTTCTTTCCCCGCCTTGAAACTTCCGTTTTCGCAGAAGAGCTGTTGCAGATGAAGTGCCGTCCTCGTCCGAGTCGGAACTTCCGCTTCTTCGCGTTCGCTCCCCGAGATCCAAATCCGTTTGATCAATTCGTTCTTTACCTTGAGAAGCGACGCAATATACAAAATTAGCATACTGTGCGTGAAAAATTGCATCAGAATAAATGCGTAAAACACTCACAGCAGTACTCAATGTGGCGGTACATTAAATAAGGATGATCTTCATTGAAATCGTCGCAACAGGGACACAACAACCCGTCTTCGGGTAAAGCGGAAGACAAAGCGTCATACGTCAGACTAAACAAAAACAAAAGCCATTAATGAATCAATACTTTGATGAACGGTTGATTTAAAAAAAAATAATTTGCACGCACCAATCGTAAGTGACGTGATCAGATAATTTCCATCCACCTTTGATTGAGTCAAATTCGGGTTCGTTCAAATCGTCAGGCATTTCTGGCAAATGGCTTGAAGACGAAGTTCCGTCGTGGCCATAATACATGGTCTAGAAAATTTAGCAAAAACAATTACGTAGAATCTTGCGTAAATCGAAGATATTCTTTTACACTTCAAATCAATGGACTGCTTGTATAAATGATGAAACGGTCTATTCGAAAGGAAATCCATACCTTCGCATCAGCAGCTAAAAGTCTCCTCAAGGAATACGTGGAATCGTTCAAGTAAATTTGCACAAGTCCATTCACGAATATTTTCTCGTTCCGGCTGTACTCCTTTCTATTCACGTTATTTCGGCCGGCACCTTGAAAATATTTTTGAATACTTTTTCCATTCTCGAAATCAACGCATGAAATACGTACTCATGATCTTCAAATCGAGCAACTTTTTCCAACGGACTCGCACCTCACTCGCCACGATCAAGAGCTGCATGCCTTCCAACGGATTCGTAAACCTCACCTCCAACCAGCCATCGAAAACGTACCTGATTTTCCTCATTTCAATCGAATAAAATTATTAACACAGGCATTTCAGTAATTCATACCTCGAAAAATTGTGATCGACGTCGGTGTTGAGGGCAAAGAGGAACAAGGACTGGGCAGCAGGAATACGTGCAGTGTTCATCAAAAATGGACGCGTGGTCTCCATCATCGACCTGCAAATGTTCACTTACAATACGATGGACCAGCATTTTTGTAACAGCAGGGCGAAATTAAGATAATTGGAGAGCTATTATAAGAGACTACCGAGACAATTTGAATCGTTTCCACGTTCAGATACTCACAAATACAACAAAAGTTCGTGCTTGTTTGAAATCTGGGAACCCGGTGGAAAGCCTGCTACCGTGGGTTCGCATGAACCAACTCTCAACACCTCGGGGTTGTTCGCAAGCATTCCCATTGGATGCAATGTCACGAATGGCTTGTCTTTGGTGTGATACATTTGCTCTGTTCCGGCCTGAGAACATCGAATAAAAAATATTTTAGAAGAGCTTTATTTCCGATGAAAACTGTTTTTATTCAAAATAATTACCTTGTAATTGTTGTGTGGATCAGCGATTGCCCATTGAGGATAAATAGACGCAGTCAAAATCGCTTTCATGAACACCATGTCTTGGAACGAATCTACCTTGTCATGCTCAATGATATTCTGAAATACAGAAAAGTCGACCATCACAACGTACATATCAGGAGAAAAGTTGGATCAAAATGAATTTCAGCAAAGCAAACCTTAATTTCGGCAGCATTTCGTCGCATGCGGAATTCCACGTCTTTTGCTTCGTGAATGTTTCCGGACTTGCCGGAGGTTTCTTCGTCATCGGAAGCTACCTCGCCGTCTCGAGCCTTCAAAACTTTTCGTTTTCGTCCTTCGCCACCGAGTCCACGCTTCCTTTTGAACTCCCTCATCCACTGATGCAACATGCTTCGCTCGCCGATGCGAATTCTTCGCTGAGCAGCTGTTTCCTGTTTCGGGGCTGCTTGATCCAAGAATTCTGATTCCTGGAAACAGACTATCATCAAGGAGCAAATAATACGCATAGAAAAAAAAAAAAAATTCAGGCCATTGCTCAACTCAGCTCTAGATTCTGATCGATGTGGAGTTAGAAATACTGTATTGTATTCCAATTTCTGAGTCAAAAACTAATACTTTAATTTTATTTTCAAGATTCAAAACCAGGTTTGAAAAATTAAATACCGTAGTTACTCAAGTACCAAGCGCTCTCGAATAAGGCACTCACCTGGGTGTTAGTCCAAAATTTTGATAAACTTTCATACCTGGGCAAGTCACGCCCCCATTTTTGATGAATCTAAAGCTATAATATTTAAAAAAAATAAAAACACAAAATTTAGAATTTAGACATGAACTAAAACTGAGTTCAAAAAATTTTCAATTTGTTTCATTTAAATAAGTTTTTCTGTTAAAATTGGTCGAGAGGTTCCCATTAGAATCAAGTATGATACATACCTAAATTTATAAAATATCTTGAAAAATGTATTCCCGCCTATGACGCGCATCCCCTTCTTTCCTTTCAATTAAAAAAAAAATATGTGCGCGGTAATCAAGTATAATACGTTACTTCTACAGAAAATAATAGAAACATTTCTCAACGAAAAAATTGGCCAACATGCGCATTAGAAACTAGACAACAATGTCCAATTTTTACAAGCTGATGGTTAGCTTCACAAAATTACACACCTTGACGATCTGCATAAACTGATCCCTCATTTTGGTAACTTCATACATGCGCTGTTCTTCAATACCCCGTCGCTTGCACCAAGAACGCGTAGTTGAAGACCTCTCACGAGAAGAAGAACCAGTGCCCGTTTTATTCTTCTCTGCCAGCCATGCTGAATACATGTTGAGCAACATGAAAGGATCACCTTGATCCGACATCAAAGCTTTGCGAGCGCTCTATTTTCAAGACGAAGACAAAAACCAAGACGTGGGTCACATAAAGTAAGGGACATCTTTTCAGGCGAAAAAAGTCCCCCGAGAAATAAAGAGAAAATCCTTCTGCAGGCAATTTCACCCAGAGCGAAATACTGTACTGTATACTCATTTTTACTTCAGATAAGCAGAATTCACGCACACGGATTCTCTGATAATTTGCAGAATCGTGCTCATGAAATAAAGTATGGTCGTTGAATGCTCCATGTGTTTTCATCTCATTAACGCAAAACTTCAATTAAAATGCCTCAAGACAAAGGGAAAAAGAAAATAGAATTGCGAAATTCTTCTTTAAACTCACCACACAGTCAGGATCGCGGTATGACTTATTTGTCAAGGGATTCTGAACCGTGAGAACACTTGCAATTGACAAAACCTTATCCAATCTTTCAAAAACGCATCCATTGATCAATAACTTCCCCACCATTATGTCGACAGGAAGCATCGCAAGTAAACCACCAACCGTCGTTACTGTCCCATTTGGCTCGACAGCCCCCTGCAAAAACAAAATAAATAAATTAGTTACAGTATCAAAAACATATGACAAATAAATAAAAGTTTCTATAGTTGACGACTTTACGTGATTGATGAAACCTTTTTTCCTAAAATTACGACACGCATCTTTTCCTAAATTGAGTGGAAAAAAGGGGTGCTTGTCGTAGGCGGGTAAAAATTTTTTAAGAAGTTTTACAAGTTCAAGGATTCATTATACAGTATTTGATTCTTATCAGAAGTTTTGGACCTATTTCAACAGAAGAACTCATTTTCCTGGAATTTTTTTAATTAGTTGAACTCCGCTCCAATTCTTGTCTGAATTCAATTTCGGCGTTCTTATTTTCAATTACTGCATTTCAGCTCTAGAGTCACTAAACATGGGACCCGCGTCCAACTTGGGGATAAAATTTCATCAAAATTTTAATCTGTAAAACCCAGCTGAGTGGGTGGAACCACCTGCAAAAAAAATTAATCGGGAACAGTACCACAAATTTATGAAAATTGAATAAAAGTGTCAGTAGTTTACATGACTGATGAGACTCTCCATGGCCAGTTTCAAACGAGACGAATCAGGCTTTTGGATGAATGGAAAGGACAGCGGTTCTTTCACACCCATCGAAACCATTTGTAAAACCAATGAGTCCAGAGATGTCCGCATGATTTCTGGAGCACTGAAATCCGTCATGCTTTCAAACTCTTCTCGCGTGTACAGCCTGTAACAAATTCCGGGACCAGTTCGTCCTTCAGGAAGAAATAAATCGGATGAACTTGCATTTGATAAAACTAACCACAAATGTAGAAGCACATTTGTTTGTTAGCTGCTCACCGGCACGTCCTTTTCTTTGTTCAGCAGACGCCCTCGAAATCATGCACTCCTTTAATTTTTCAGTACGCGTCGTCGGATCAAACGTCATTTCCTTCACTTTACCCGAATCGACGACGAACCGTATTCCATCAATCGTAACCGAAGTTTCGGCAATGTTCGTCGAAATCACACACTTTCGTACTCCGTCGGGTGCGATATCGAATGCTCTATCCTGTTCTTCGATTGAAAGCGAACTGTGAAGCTGCAAAATTATCCATCGATTGGTTTTCTGAGCGTATTCTTTCGCTGCATCGGCTATAGCAGTGATTTCAGCCATTCCACTGAGAAATATCAGAACATCGCCTCGTTCTTCCGCGGGATATTTCTCGTCGATCATGTGGAGAATCCTTATATAAGGGCTTGGACTGATTCGACCCGCTTTTTCTTCGGAAACAACAGGCCAGTACACAACTTCAATCGGGTAAAGTCGACCAGGGACCTGCAATATGTTTTCAATTTCGTAAAAATGTTATAAACGTAATACATGCTTCCTTGAAAATATGAAAACTTCAAAAATGAGACCAAACGAAATTTCAGACATACGGAAAAAATTATCATTCACAAAAAACAAAGCTCCGGTAGATTAAAAAGATTGAGAATAAAATATGCGTATTCGCCCAACTTCATCATCTTTGCATTCATAATGTTCATTAATTTATTTTCATTTCGGAAATTGGACGAACACTTCCTAGTTCAGATTCTAAAACAAACATTAATGTATTCATATCTCGTAAGAAAATTGAGATCAGGCCAATTATTTTCGGGGAACAGGGTATCAAAATACAAAAAAAAATTAGTAGATTAAAAAATTAATCTAAAAAACCATGTTTTCAAAAAGCAAAAAATAACCTTAAATGTGGTGCGCATCTATTTCATTTGTATTTCACTTCTTCCCAACAATCTCCATGCGCACCACATTTAAGGTTATTTTTTGCTTTTTGAAAACATGGTTTTTTAGATTAATTTTTTAATCTACTAATTTTTTTTTGTATTTTGATACCCTGTTCCCCGAAAATNTTCAAAATTTGATCCAGACAAACAGACAGACAAGAAAGTGAGTTCATAAAAACGTGGTAAAAACTCAGCAGTTGAACCTCTCCAAGCCGAAGTTCAAGGGACCTAGCAAAACGATTCGAGTTAGAAAAACAAGCCGGTGTTAGAGAAAGATAGAAGAATTACAGGAAATTTTAACTGGTGATATTCTAGGCTTTCAACAATTTTTCGCTTTTATCTTTCCTGTGTCAATAAAGTAATACCCAAAGACCTCCAGAAAAATCGAGTTATGGAGGCTTTAATTCAGGAGGATGGCCTTCGAGTTAAGGTGGTTTTTAACGCTTTGTTTCAAAGGGGAATTCAGAGGACTAACAAAAATTTTGATGCTGGGGTTTCGAATTATAGAGGTTCAAATGTACAGTATTTACAAAATCAACACTCAAACCCTGACCTGGACAATCGGCGTCAAGTTGAAAAAGTAGTCGGTGAACATCTCACTATTTATAGTAGCAGACATGAGAACGATCTTCAAGTCTTTTCGCTTATACATCAAACACTTGAGAATGCCAAGCAGAAAATCGCCTTGTAGATGCCGTTCATGAACTTCATCCAGGACAATTACGTCATACTGCGTCAGCGTCGGATCTCCAACAATCTGAATATTTATGAACGACGTACAAAAAAACCTGAGCCTTCAAAATAAGATCACCAACTTTACCTGCCTCAGAAGGAGTCCCTCAGTTAAGAAAACAATCCTCGTAGCTTTCGTTTTTGCCCGTTCAAAACGAACTTGATATCCGACTTCATCGCCATATTGGTTCAAGGTTTCATAAGCTACACGCTGACAGAGAGAAATACATGCAATCCTTCGAGGCTGCGTGCAAGCTATTCTCGAAAACCCTGCTTTCAACAAGTACTGCGGAACTTGCGTCGATTTCCCGCATCCGGTGTCACCGGCAATCAAAACCACCGGAAAATTCTTCACATAGTTGACGATGTCGCTTTCGTGCTCCGCTATTGGTAAATTCTTCTGCGCTTCCCGGAGCTTCCGAAGTTTCCGGAATTTTTCCTTCTGCATGAAATCCAGGAACTTGGCGATGATCTCGGCGAATTCCTTGAGTCGTTCCACGGGAACAGGTGGTTTCGAGGAATCGGGGTCTCGGAAAGGCATCCTCGTGATTGCGTCTTCAACGACCCATTTCCTACCACTAGAAGACGCGATGCATTCCACACACACCAAGTGGTTGGGGTTGAGATCCCCTTTACTTCGCGAGCGACCAGCAAGAGTTCTTGACTTCAGTTTGTACAATTTTTCACAAAAAACCCAGAAATCCTTGTGTTCCTCGGAACCAAACCTAATCGCGGAATTGTCCGTGAAAAATGCCGTGTCGAAGTCACGTCGGTATTTCGAAAAGTCAAACGCCATGCTTCGACAGCAGCTGGGAATTCTCAACGATAAAAAGGCGACATCATCTCCATATCAGGAAGAAGGACTTTCTCATCTGCAAAAAATGAAACGAAACTGGATCAGCAAGAAAGTCTTCAAATTATTCCTTCGAGTACAGGTTCGACAAATCGCAAAATATCTTCGACAAAATCAAAATTAAACCCGCGTTTCGAAATAGAAAGGAAGACAAATTCTTCGAAAATCGACAATACTTTTAATCAGCTTCAGGGGTCTTTACAGGATCAAGTAGCGCGGAGAACACAAACGGGTCAATGGTCATCTTCGGTATACTAGCCCAACACAAAAAAAGTAACAACAGTCGAACACGGAAAATTCGCTTCTGCTGATTAAATTTTTGTCGATAAATTGATTACTTGGAAGGCTATTCGGTGAGGGATCTGAGCAGTTCTAGATCAGCGAAAGCTGACCCCCTCAACACATATACAAAATTCCCGTTCCGATGCAGGAAAAAATTAGTCTACTCTCTGGTCAATTACATTCCCTGATCATCCTGAAGTTGTTTTCAGAAGAAAACAGTTGATGGCACTGGCTTCGAAGCCGAAAGAAAAATGTCTGCCTCACGAGACACAACCTAGCAATGAGGTCAGAAAGAAGCACTAAAAAGCTACGAATAACAGTTCCAAAAACTGACAAAAAACACATGTTTCTAAAGCTTGTTTTTCTGCGCGGTACAGGTACCCACAAACGAAAAGTATTCTGTACTGATGTTCCTAATACTGCGAGATGCAACTCCGTCGTGTAAATACGTGGTTCATAAAAAAAAAAGGACTGGAATGGTCTTGCCATTGATCGAGGCTCATTTAAAACTCATTGATGCTATCAAGAAAAGCAACACACGTTCAATATGCAAGTCAAATAGAAGTTTAATCACAAATTGAGAACTGGTATACCTCTAAATGTCATATCTAACTTGGCCAAGCATATGCCAATAAAAAGAAACCCTCGTTTTCGAATCCTTACGGGCACTGACTCAATTGGAAAAAAGGTTTCCAACAACGCATTGCGAAAGTGGCTTGCGGTACGAGGCAGTGGGAAAGTTCTTTGAGCTATGGCAACCTGATGTAATGCAAGCAAAATAGGTCCCATTCATTTCCTCCCACATAAATTACGACTAGATTTCGGGCAAGACAATTCTGGAAGAACGCGAGACCCTGTTGTCTTTCGTCATGCAAGAAATTCAACATACATTTTGATCAAAATCGAACGCTCAAAATGTCGGCGCAGAAAACATTTAAAGCAGAAAAAAAACCATCGCATTCGCGACGTTATTTACCGACCAACGCATCCGCCAACCAAAGATCATTCGCACACTCCCACATTCCAAGGTTACGTCTTCGAACATAGAACTTCCCCCAAATAGACGCAGAAAACAGACGAACCGTTTTCCGCAAATACCAATAAATAACTGATTGTAACCATGTTTTATCCCCTATTCGCCGCTTCTTCCCGATTGGACGAATCGTCCAAATATTTAGATCCATGTTCCCAAAACAATGCACCAAAATAAGGATGAAACGGGTTATTGGAACGGCCAAAAAAGAAGTCAGGAAGAAAAACAATATTTGAGGAAACCATCGTCGGCGTGAGAAAGGCATTCATAACTGCGGGTTCAAAAACGGAGGTAGACGAGACGCAGTTCAGTAGAAACTGGATGACTCCAACGTTTTACAATGACGAGATAGTGTGGCGTATTGGCCGTGGTTCGGACCGGGCAGGGTGGAAATGCTGCTCACAGGTTGCGCTCCAGGGTGAGCTTGAGTAGCGTACCCGTGGTACTGTGCATGATGATAGCCTGCGTACCGAGGGTCAGCCTCGATCATTCTTCCGTTCCTGCAAATAGAGTTCGAAAATCAATGATCATGCATCACAAGGAAACTAGCAATAACAAATGATACTATTCCGAAAAAAAGTCCAAGAAAATGAATGTCAGAGCTCAACTTTGGCTCAGAAGTTTTGTTCATATTACACACAAAGGAAGCAAATCTAAATTTACTAAAAAATCTGGAGGACTACAGAAAATTCCCTGAGATAAAATATCTCTTCAAGCAAGGAAATGCAGAGAATTTCATTGTCCTAACCTCCCAGAGATGTTTTGCATTTACAAGTTGCTTAAACAATGTTGCATAGAATTGTTGCTCATCCCGTAATCCCATTGAAACGTAACTTAGACACCATCATCACATTGAAATATACCTTTAACAACATTTTTGTATTGAAATGTCGAATAAAAAGTACGGTCCCTTGGATACAATGTTGTAGGGTTCAATAGGTTCAGCATAGGCCATATTTCTGTGACCCATGATGTCCATAGAACAATTTTAGCCATTTCAATAAAGCAAAAAAATCAATAGCTGAAAGCAGTTAAGCTTAACACTTCCTCAGCCAGGAGGTGTATTTTCCAAAGAATGTTATATTACTTTCCCAGTAACTTCAGTCTTCTCTAGGGAACCCAACAGGAAGTTGTTGAACCCAAATTTAATGAACCACACATTTTCTTTGTTTCAAGTTGTAATGCACTGTTTGTATTTGCAGAACAATATTCTTGAACTAATTGGATTGCGTTTACAGTAATTGTACAAATGGATTCTTTGTCATTTGTTCTTCAGAAATCTCCTATTCTATCAATATACTGTATTTCTCTCATCTGACTTCATTTGAAAGCTGTTTAACTCATCAACAATCAACAAAACATGGGGCGTTTTCCTCACAATTCATTGTTTTCCCCATCAAATATAATGCTGCTACAACACAGCAGTTCTACGCTCCAACAAAACTTCACCTAATGTAGTACAAAAATTTACCAAAATACATCAGCTTCAGCAATAATGTGCATTACTATCAAGGACCATAAATAATAATTTCAGAAAATTTCTGAAGAGATCAAGCATTTCTCAAAATTTCCATCCAATTCAACATGAATGTTTCAGCTCTTCCTATTCAAAAGCAAACCAACTACATCCTTCTTCTACGCTAATGGAAAAGCAAAGCGCAAGAGACAAAAAGCATGATACAAAAGCTTTCACGATGCAACCAAGGCATAGCACGCAGTAAAGCTCCCGATAATGGCCTGAATCAAACTTTACAAAAGCCTCATCAGCATTGATTATGGGGCTTGAAAAAAGGTATCCATTCATAAGTCATAACGCGGACTTTCTATTAATGCTTAATCTCATAATCGGTACCTTTTGGAAGGCTGATATTGGTAAAAAAAAGTGCCTGCAAGACAACCATAACAAAAATGTCTGATATTTTGCATGACAGAAAATTTTAAGTTAAGCATTTTAAAAGAATTTGCAAGCCTCGCGAAAATCAGGAAGTCGACAAAAAATTTCAATTTGAAAAATTCAATCGACATAGCCGGGATTTCTTTTCTTTCAGGGAATAATGTTGAGGCCTACTGTACTAGATAGAGAAACTTTTACCAAAGCCCTCAGCTACTTGCACTGTACTCTGGATGACATAAGCAAAAATCAAGAAGCGTCAGTAAGAATAATTGAGTACTTAAGTTAGTCGAGAAAATTCTGCTGGTGCTTGCAGCAGACACGATGAGAAGAAGCTGAACAGGGTGCACTAAAAGCCACTACACTTACAGAGTGCTGGGAAACGGAGGAGTTTGAGGAGGAGTGTGAGTATTTGAATAATGCCTGGCTCGATAGGTGGGTCCAAGACTGCCGGTCATGGCGATGTTGGTTCGACGCCCGAGACTACCAGCACCCGCTTGGCCACTGCTCCTGGCCTGCTTTCCCTGGGGGAGAAATGGATCTGTCTCCTCCGTGTTTAAATAATTTCTGGAAGTAAAAGAAAAAATCACGTTAGCTCATGAAAAATTTGCCTTTCAGATCAACTCGCCTTTTCTTCATGTAAATCCAAAGATGCGAATCGAACAGCACCAAGATGTAGAACATGATGCAGCATCCTGACAACGAAAGCAGCAACCACGTCAGCGCCAACCTGAAATAAGCAAGTGTTGAATCCAATCAATAATCGTCCCCAAGAATACATGTTAGTTTTTGAATATTGAAATTCAGCAGCAACGGTAACTCGAAACACAGGATTGATGTAGATAATATCCTACTGTTCTCACATTAGATCATTGCAGCCGCTGTTCAGCGCAAAAACGTATTCCTTATGGATTGGACGACACTGCAACGCTTCGTTGAGTTTTCGAATGCTGTTGTTAGTGGCGTTCACAGCTTGTCCCAATTTCACAAGGTTTGGATGAAGCTGTCGATGCTGCTGACGTTGGTCATCTCCGAACTTTTCCGCTATTTCAGAGACGACGTTCAAGGAGGTTTGGATATTGGTAGTAGCACGTATGCCATCAGAAATGTATTGCTCAAACGGGTTGTCCGCCACAGGGTGACACTTGACGTAAAACTGCGCAATTGCAGGCGGAGGGTATTCTCCTAAATGATTCAGGACGAATTCGTCTGGTCTCTGACAAATATCGCTCAATCCCTGACGGAAAATTTATAAAAATTCATTAGACATCTGTATCAGAACGTTTATCGAAGAGTTAAAACAAGTTCGCTTACCATCGCTATCACGAAAAAAGCGCAAACCAGGAGTCCGCAAACGACTGTCGCGACCAGCCCCAAAACTGAGAATCTGAAATACGCCTGATTTATAAACGGAATAAAAGCTAAATTTTATATTTTCGACTCACAGCATGAGTGTGCACCTTGATCTCTTGATCAGACCAATCATAAGAATCAGGCAGAAAAGGATGAACAAACCGAACAAGGCCAGAGTCACTGGTGCGCGTATCATCTCGATTTGGGATACAAGGGTAGTAAAGGCGGAGTATTCCGCGTGACTTATTTTTCCACTTATGACAGCGATCCGGTTCTTCGCTTCCGAAACGTTGCCAGACATCTCTTCGATGGCAATTCGTACCCTCGGATCACCATCTTGACGGCTGAATTCTTCGCTCAATAATCCCACTCTCGGTTCGACGTCCTTATGCAATTTTCCAGCAACTTCATCAGTTTGATTCTTCGCGCTCGATGAGCCCAGATTGATCTTTTCCACACTCTGAACGAAGTCGGTAATGCTAATGTGAGCCAAGTGGCTTCCGTACATCGCACAGGTCAGAATACCACTACGGAGCAATACTGCAGTCAACATCACGTCGCCACTCATCAGTAACTGAGGCATGAAATGCAGATTCGGGATACACTCACCAACAAACCAAACCGAAAAACATGAGAACCCATCGAAGGAATTCAAATCGTTTCTTCTTAGCAGTCTTTCTTCGGCAGCAATAAGCCAACAAGTAGAACAGGAGGATGATCAGGCTGATGATCAAGACGACCGCTGGTACGGATCCCCACAGGCCCAAAGTCTACCAAAAATCAAGGCTCGTACATATTCAGAATGCCGCACGTCGAAACATGTAAAATACTGCTCACCTCTCGGTACATCTCATTCTTAAGGTCGAATGTGTCATTCACGACACGCAACGAGATATCCCAATGAGGACGTGAATGAAACAGCTGTACAAACCACGAAGGGTTGAATGTCGTAGGAACCCCCATGATTTAAGTACTTCACGTTCTCAAGAGGAATGACCGGATTAGAATCGCCCACTTCGAGTTTCCTTCAACCCCGGAAATTCTTCCGCGGGACGAAGCATCACAAACGTCATCCGTGAAACCACATTCACTGATATATACTCATATTCGTTTACCTTTCAACACCTCCCCTAAAAAAATACGGAAACTGAACATCGGAGGCCAGCGGGTAAATTCACTCCCACATCAACACGAAATACCAAAGCGGCTGTGAATTTCATTCAAACTTGATTCTTCGATATCTCGGTCCTACCGTTTCTTTTGAAGGCCACTAGCGCGTTCATTCACGAACCAAGCCGTCTGAGATTTCACCCAGCAGTGCGTTTGAAACCCTGGAGAAGATTGAACGACATCATAGAAAACAGTTTAATACTCCCGCATCTCCGATACGGAGTCACATCCGACGATTGCACGTCCGACAATTTAGTCCAACAGAATTTCTCAGCTGACCAATGATTTTCGGGCGGCTTATCGCACCGGTGCATATGCTGGATGAACATTAAGGGAGAGGTGCCTCATATGGTAGATGGACAATTTACTGCCTAGTCTGATATCCCTGAACAGACAGAATTGAATCAATTTTCTATTTGCCCAAATGTGGTCTGGTTGGAATGAATTGAAGTACGTAAAAAATGGATATTGATTGGCCTATCCCTACACCATTTCATGTACTGTACTAATTTATATGTACTGCCAAACTACAATGTGGCCAAGGTCAAGAGTGATACATTTTTTGCATCCAAGGGCAGCTTATAGTGGAGGTGGAGAGTCCTTGCAAACCACAAGAGACAATAACTGCTGAGGTTCCAAATTTTCCTCATTCAAATGAAAATTTTTAAATCTAATTCTTTGTTACGCACTAAATCACAAGCACAGCTTCATAGAATTTCAAGGGCGCAGCAACATATTGAATTACTGTAAAAAATTTTCAATGCTGCATCCATCAAATACTGGCCATTTCTTGCTAGAAATTTATTGGGAAGGGACTGTGCAGAGTTTTGTCAGGCCAGACTTAATTAACCTGCGGGCCTTACGTTAGGCATCTAAGGCCATGCTGCAGTACACTTACAGCATGGTAATCTAAAATTTTAAGGAAATTGCATGTTCCACATTCCTTTACCTGCAAGGACAAGAAAATAAACTAAAATGGAATCACATGCCTATTAAGAAAATCAAGATTTCCATCCGAAGATCAGAACTGCTCTTCAAATATATCAACTGCTGTGTGCAACAATAAGCCCTGCAAGCATGAAACGCGTCAATGTCTGTTTCTGTTAACTTAGCATCACCAGAATGTGTCTAAAACGCAAAAAGACTACAAGACAAATGTCATAAAATGCAAGTGTTAACGTTCTTAAAGAATTTTACGTATAGAAAATGTTTAGGACCACTGATACTTTCTTCATCCGTGGAATAAAATTTTAAAATATTTCCTCATTTTTGATCAGTATTTTCAAATTGGGGACATTTCATGTTGGAGCACTGGGTAATTATGAGTTTTCTTTTTTAATGTTTGAATAACACAGTAATACAGCCTTGCAAGAAAATTCATAACAGAAGCTCACGAACATTCCCATGAGCTTCATCGCCTTCCAAAAAATGAGGTATGACCAGCATACCTACGAATCTTATTTCCTTTGCAACACGTA